TCTCTCACTGTTGGTTTAAGCCATGTAGGACGATGCACACTAGGTGGTTGGGGTCCGCAGGACAAGAGGAACCAGTGGTTGGAGACCCTAGGGGATATGGCTCAGAACCAATGTCAGTGGCGAAGATGTATACACACATTATCCTCATCTTAACAACGTTATACCGAATCTCACCATTTTGTCACTCCTCTTTCCTTTCTTCTCGTACTTTATATTTCTTTTGACTGCATTCTCTTATCTTCATCCTTCACCTCACTACCTTTCTACTTGATGTAGTGATATGAGGTGTGGCAACTCGGACCGTTACGCAGTAATGCCTGGTCCTATGTTGATATTGATTGATTGACATTAAGTAGTTTCACAGTTGGTTCAAATGTGTTAAACAATAGGCTCCAAAATACAAATCAAAGTAGATAAATTCCTGAGTCTTTTTTTTACCTCGAAACCATATCTATTGATTTACACACATATACAGGAGGAAGTGTATAGAAACAGAAAGACGGTTGCCTGGTAAGATCACAGTCTGTTGTAAAAGATATATGTAAGAGCAGGCTAGAACCATCAAGTGGCGCAACACATAATGCAAGATATCTCCTTATGGTTGCTAAAACCCTTTAAACATTAGATGAACAGAAGATATCTTCACTTCACTATGTGGAAACCAGTGCAATACAAGAAATCAAACTCCACGGTCATACATTCAGGAAAAAAAACTTGCTAATCTGCTATTGTATTCATAATGTTTGAAAATTTAAGTTTTCAAATGTAGAGGAAGATAGAGTGAATTGTTGCTAAGTGTACTGATAGGTAGTCAGATTTCTTACTTATACCGGAGATGGCGTTTGTTGGCAAATGTTAGACGAGTGCAGATTTCAACAGCAACCATGCTATTAGAGTTAACCCAACTTTTAAATCAGCGAAGTGGTGAGTACATTCAATCATTTCACTTCTTATCCTTAAGTATATTGGTGAAGATTAGTGCTGAAACATCATCATGGAAGGATATGTGTATCAGTATAAGTCAAAGGCTTAAACAATGCAAATCAGTCGGAAAAAGGTTTACGAACGTGAGGCTATACACAACACATTGTGTAAGGGCTTTTCATGTTATTCGATCGTCTAAATCAAACAAAGTAAGTTGGAGTGACATCTGAACCAGATATGCATTGCTTGAAAGTCGAGTGCTTACACTTACTACAGAACATCAACATAAGGGTAGAACCTCAGAACCATGGTAGAGTATAACTAATTATCACGATTTGATGTGATATCACCAATAAATTATGTCTAAAAAGTCATTCAGTAAACAGTGTTTCAGCGTGTAAGATATTAAATACAGTGAACGCAACTGAACGGAACCTAAGGAATAAAAATGAATTCATTTTTTTCATTGACAGTTTTTGACTGTTTTCTTGATGGTAAGCTCTGGATTAGTCTCACAAACGTCCTGCAATTTAAGACTTTTCTTAAATGTAAATAATCATTCATTCGATGATACATTCCAAGAAATGTAGGGATGAAAATAGAACACATAATGAGAACAACAGTTTCACATGACTAATCCATCCTAATTTGATATTTTGCATATCACGTCTTTAGTATACACTACGAACGAAATGAGTAACCTGAAATTTACTGGCAAATTCAATACTTAAGCAACGCTCAGCTGCATTCGATGACTACCATCGGTCACTTTCAGTAAGATGTCAAGATAAAGATTTTTGCCCACAGTCAAGACTATAATTGAGAGACATTTTCAACCTCTGAAATTTAAATTATTGCTTCAGGGCTGGTCTGTGCCAACATGTCGTCTGAATTCACTTGCTTGACAGGTTACATAATAACTAGTGAATCAGTAGTCATAGAAATCTCACCAAGGAGGTATACGGCCCGATTGGCTTTTGCCAAGTTATACGACTTATGGAGTTGAGTCGAGTGCACTCCAAACCAGTTCCCATCCTCTTTCTATGTGGCTGAGAAACATAGTTATTGAACATGAAAGACATAAGAAGGCAGGATCAAGTGTCCAACCACCAATGGCCTTACAAGGATCGCTTGCTTATTCGTAATGTATGCCTAGGCTCCTATGCCAAAAGAGGTAAGTCATTCGATAAGATTTTGAACATTCAACAAATGAAATGATTGAGGCATTAGTTACGCTTAACTACTCACTGTCTATACTGATATGCAATGTAAGCAGAGATAGAACTAGATTCGAAAAAGACTAAAGGTAACCAAAGTAAAACATAGTAATAAATCATTAGGCCTCTAATTGTTGATTTGAGTTGTGTAGGGAAGTGCATACTTCCAGGTTGGAGTATACAATACAGCCCAACCCAATAATAACTGGTTCTCAATGATACGTCTCAGAAGTGAACTCAATAGTGTAAATGCATCAATAGATTATCTGTCTTCTTCCTAGTCATTATATTATATTTCGTTATTTGTTTCACGTCCGTTTCCTCTAACGATCATTGATATCAATGTCTCATTGAATGGTAAACTGACTATTTAACTATGTAAACTTCTTTCCAATCTTACCAACAAGCCAATTAGAAGAATTCGACTAATGAAGTCATAAAGACATCAAGAATGGACAGAAGAATTGAATTATAGTTTAAAATCAATTTCACAAAGATTAAGAGTATTGCCTGCCTACTTCCGGTTATCTATGTCTAAGAAAGAATTCCAGTAACACAGTTTACAAGTGACCATAGGGTTTCTTTCTCTAAAAATGCAATTACTTACTCTGTACACTTAGTTAGCAAAGCTGACTTTACCAAGTTATACAACTTATGATAAACTGAATGGCATTTTGAAATATAAAAAACAAAATGTACATACAAAACAGGACTTAAAAAGAATACACGACACGATACGGTCATAACTGTTGGTTATCTTCGTTGAAAAAACCCTAGGTGAACAAAGAATAGTCGGTGAGAGGGAGAGGGAGAGTTATAGTGATTATCATATCAGGATAGCATAGATTGTGACTGTTACCCTATAATGAATTGAGTAGAATAAGGCAAAAGCTGATTAAATATATCACTGGTTTGATTAGCAAGCAGTAAGTTGCACTCAATGCATGAAGGCTAATTATAACGATAAGCTACACATAAAAAATTGAAGAGTTGCTTTCAGTTAGAAATGCATCAGTCATTTAGCCACTATCAACATGAAACCCAGAAATACTGTGTAACGAATATACTTGTCGCCATCCAAATGCAAAATGTTGCTCAAGGAAGGGTCTTCACCGTTGCCCTGTCTAACGATAGGGAATGAAATGATTGAGTCAGTTGAATACTTTGCTCACTTACCTAGTAAGTTGGATCAGCCACGATGAGTCAATGGGCCGACGGAATCTATGCAGAGATACAAACGGCTTGCCTGGTTTCTGCCAACCTACGCTATTTATGGCACAGTCATGATATTCGACTGTCGATCAAGGATCGGGTGTACGGTACTGTAGTCCACTACGTTCTACTCTATGGTTGTGAAACATGGCCATTATGGGAAGAAGAAATGATAAGGCTTCAAGTGTTTGACCACCATCGCCTTTGCAGAATAGACCGTGTGTCGTGCAGTCACTGTCAGGAATGCAGAAGTCAGGTGTAAAGTTCTCGGGAGGAGAGACTATTCAGTTGTGAACCTTCATCGACTCAGGTGGCTGGGACATGTGTTACGCATGTCTAATCATCATCTGTCTTGTCGCCCGTGTTATCTGAAGTAGGTTTAGGCTGAAAAAGATCAGTGGCGATCAGACTAAAATGCGGCATCAGTGCAAAAAATCTCTGACTGTTGGTCTGAACCTTATAGGGGAATGCAGACCTCCCTGTTGGGGTCCGTGTGACAACGGAAGCCAGTGACTGGAGACTCTAGGTGAGATGGCTTAGGATCTGTCTGTATGGCGAAGATGTATCCCACACGTTATCCTCATCTTCAACGTCATACTAAATTCAGTGATTTCATACTCCTACTTGTTGTTTTATTACAACTTTCTACCCCTTTGTCTGCTTTCTTCGCTGTTTCTTTAGTGCTCATTTTAGTGCTTTGTTGCTTGGTGCGCTGATATAGGGTGTGGCGACTTAGACCATTTTGCACTAATGCCTGCTCCTATGCTGATTTTGTCTATCTGTGTAACGGTCCAAGTTACCACACTTCATATCAGCACATAGACATACAAGGCGGCAGAATGAAAGGTGGAGACATGTATGCAAAAGGTAATTAACTTTGCGCTAATACGTAGGAATCCACGCTGAATGAAACGACTGCATTCGATCTGCTTAACAGACTGCTTTAGGTTTGTGAAAGACTTACTAAATGCAAAATTGCATCCGATGTGCAAGGTTAGTACTGACAAAGTTTTCAAGGATAGTATATGATGAAACATTCACGGAGTAATATTAACGCTCACAGAAAATAAAAACCAATGGCATCCTATTCCAAAACTAACAATCCTCTCTTACTACACGACTCACCAACAAGTAGTCAAGAAAGAAAAATAGATATTTCTATGCAAGCAATGACATATCATAAGGTACAACAGAGAGACAGTGCTAAAGACTAATGTAGTTAGCTGGATAAAGAAGTTGATCACTGAATCTTTGTTCATCAAACCACCTCCTAACCCAGGCAATAGAAGTGATTCGAAAAATATCCCAGATATACGGGAAATTTTACTACCATAAAAACCAAAGATTAGTAAAGCAGTGTAACCCGGGGACTTAAATCAGGAAGTTGTGTCCTTACCTTGGTGTGGTTATGAAAAGTAAATTGTGCTTGCGACACTATTTAGAAAACAGTACTGCTCAGTACGTGCTATATCAAGTAAGCTTATATAATATGGAATTACAACCGACTACAGTGACCAAATTCTACCCTTACTCTCATAGTTTGAGTTTGCATCAAATAGATAACAAACATTTTAGTAAAAGACCATTTCTGCATAGATGTAATGAACAACAATTACGACGTAGATCATATATACATAATTAACTTACAATGAGCTGAGGGAATACTAATGCCACTACAGCATTACACATCCAATTAGTGGCAACAGCAATGCTGACAGCAGCATCTCGATTCTCTTGAGTGAACAATTCAGAGACCAAAAACCATGGGATAGAACCTATGCAGAAAGCGGATGGTAGCAAAAAGCTGTATATGAATTTTGATATGAACAATTAGCATACAGTACAAATAATATACCTGGAGTTTCGTTATCAAAGAGGAGAAAAGAATTTCATGCATCAAAAACCCAGAGGTTAATTCAACAACAAAGATCCCTATAACTGTATCTCATGATCCAACTATATCCTGACAAACAGTTACTACCTTCAAATGATGCTCAAGTTTACCTACAAAATGATCTAGTTGAGTATTTCCAATGCCATTTTAGATCTTACCATAAAATGAAAGTTGAATGTGTATATAGTAATGACAGTAAAAGTGGATATTTTAAACAGATTTATTTCTACCTTAACACACGTTTAGTGCAATACATGCAACAACGAAAATTTAGATGCTGATGTACTAAATTTGTTTGCACTGTGAAGAGCCAGTAGATGTAAATATACAGCTGACATTATTGAAATAAAGTAAAAATATACTGAAGTCTATGTCATTTAACGTTCTAACATTGACATGCTTTGTAAAACACCTTCACCTAAGTAAAATTTGCTTATCAGGTTGAAGTATGTATCCGGATCAGTGTAGACATTCCCCGCTGCGCAAAATACTACAGAAAAACGAATATCGAACAATTATGTAGTTTATAGTTTATACGTGCATAATCAATGGTAACTTCATCAAGAGTAAACGCATGCAAAATTATGAATACGCCATTCCTCCTTGTTGGTTACATCAGCAACATTACGTTCTACAACAGCTTATTGGATTGAGAATTTTTTTCAATGGCAGAACTGTCTTCACCGGGATAAAACACAATGTACACTTCATTTTCTCCGTCACGTGCAACTAGATGGTTCAATTGTGAAACTTCCATGGTCATTCTAGACAACATAATTAGCGAAAACCTCAGAAAGAAATTAGATATAAGATTTTCTCCACAATTGGCTTAGTAGCTTTCTCTGATGACCTTGGAAGTGGTTGGTGGTTTCGGCTAAAATTAAAACTTTATCATTGTCTCCACACACATTCCCATTGCCTGTCTTGCTGACGTGATCCTTGACCTCCTGTTTGTCTCCGTATTCTCCATATGGTTAGCAGATTAAGTCGATGTCACTGAAGAAACTGCACGAAGATATGCATGAGAGGGTAACCCGCATCTTCCTGTCCACCAACATGAACATCAACTAGCAATGGTGCGTCACCATATCTTCGCTCATATCAATTAATTATTCCTAACCAACAATGAAGCTAGGTAAAGTACTCAATTTCACCCCTTCCGTTCAACTCTACCATAGATGACATTTTTAAGACATGTCTGAGGAAGGCGCATGATGGTATATACCTGTTACAAGGTGAAAAAATTATCGACCTTTAGTATGTGTATGTTCTTCTCCTACTAGAAACAACGTACAGGTTACTCAGTCGAACTCAACTAGTTATTGATGACTAGTGAGTGTTCGTAAATATGGTATGTGTTTCACTCTATAAAAGTGAGAACTGCTTCAAACATATTGGCAGGAGGATGTAACTGCACTCTCATCCTTGACGATAAACTGTTAGAAGTTACTGGAAAGATTTTGTACCTGGGTAATTGTGCGGATGTTGATGGAGATTTGCCTGATGGATTTCCAATCACATTTCGAAAGCCAGAGTGGCATACTCCATTCTGGGTCACCTTCAGCACCATTATGACATCAGTCCTACTGTAGAGGGTTAGATGTGCAAGGCTTTCCGAGCTGAAGATGTGTGATGACTCTGTATATTCGATCACCGTTGTCTTCATACGATCACTCACATGCGATGGAAACACTAGAAAAATTAACTTGGAGGAGCGGTAGCGCGCGCGTGTTGAAGCACTGGCTGAGGTGACTTGAACCACTGGCTTCAATGATTCGGACGTTATCATGCACTGTTGTTACCTCTGAGATTAATCAGGCGATAAGGCGAGATGGTCAGTATATGATGCGGTACAGTGAACTGAAGGGTAGTTGTTTTAGACCAGCACCAGTTTGTGCCTGGCAACTGGATAGATGAAGTCTGAGAGATAGAGCAGTTCAGTCGCTAAAGATACTGTCGCATGAGGCTCAGAACTGAAACCAGAGACAATTATGCTATAAATTTTTCCTTCTTTCGCTGAAAAAAGTAGATCAAAATTATGGATGCTTTTCTAAATGTATTCTCAAGACAGGTAACATGGCAATCAGTCTACCTTCCCGCTTCTCTTTTTCTTTCTTCCTTCTATACAAATTTTATTTCTAGGTGTTGTTCCAACAGCATTCCGTATTTCTTGGAGGCTACCCGGTACCAAGTTTGTGTTTTAAATAAGTAGTAAGTAAGATGAAGATGAAGAAGCAATGATACCATAAAAATTACATTTTAGCATTCGTGACCCCACAGTATGAAGACCTGGCTTGATAAGCATATCGTATTTATCTAGCCAATGGAAGATTGTCATGAAAGGGTAATTCAAACAATAACAGCACTTTGTTCGCCAATTAGAAGTCAAATAAAAATGATAAATTTACATTAAAACATAAAAATAAGTCATACCTACCTAAACCAACTGAGAATCCGAACAAAAAAGTATAAGTCAGTCCGATCGATACAACTGTAAGCCAATTAATTCCGGTGGCTTGTTTAATTATTAATGCCAGAGTGAAAAGTGAAAAGCTGCAAAGACATACGGACACACTAAATATCAACAGAGGACGTCTACCTTTACTGTCAATAATAAATAGTGACGCTAATGCACCAATCAGAATTGTAGCCCCAGTACCAAGATTGGCATAGCTTGCTGCTTTTTCTGTTAAACCATTCGATATGAATAGGCTGACAAAGTAGTAAAGAATCTGAAATAGAATAACGATAAACGATTGTTTTTACCTTTGTTTCTCAACAAATTTATTACTCAATTGCGAAATCTGAGTTGTGTGAACTATGCATTTCTTGAACAACTCTAAAAATCTCCACATAGAGGAAGGCATATACAAGCAGCATCTTTTGTCTTCTGTTAAAATGTTTATTATAACTTGAGAATCGAAATCGAATTGCAGTCAGTAACCAAATGCACATTCGTGCAGTAGGCAATGAGTCACACCTATTGTGTATGTGAGGACTAATAATACTATCTGGCCGTCCACACTTCAGTGAGAGGGATGCGGTTCAGGCCCGAGTGGCCAGACTAAAACATGGCACCAATGTATGAAGTCTCTGACTATTGGTTTAGCCATGTGGGGCGATGCAGACTAGCCGCTTGGGATCCGCGGGACAAGAGAAACCAGTGGTTGGAGACCCAGGTGATATGGCTTAGAACCAATGTCAGTGGCGTAGATGTATACACACATTATCCTCATCTTAACAACGCTATACCGAATCCCACCATTTTGTCACTCCCCTTTCCTTTTTTCGTACTTTATATTTCTTTTGACTGCATTCTCTTATCTTCATCCTTCACCTCACTACTTTCTACTTGATGTAGTGATATGAGGTGTGGCAACTCGGACCGTTACCCAGTAATGCCTGGTCCTATGTTGACAATGATGATGATGCGGTTCAAACCCATGAACCCCGGCTTAGTAATCACGTGCCTACAACAATGAGCCATGCCTACCTGTTGAGTGTTGTTTTGTGATACTAATGGTGTTCTGAGATCACATAGGTGGGATGCGATTCAGATATAAAACAATATTTGACAATTGAATACTGAAATGAACAAAGGTAAAACTCCAATAATATTTTTTTATTTTTCGATAACCTCAAAAATCCTATTTGTAGTCAAAACATGTTTCCATCAATTCATCCCTACGTCTTTATTGATTTGGTCAGGAACACTTTTCAGTTCGAATATATCTTTCACAAAGAAGATGTGTTCGACATGAAGATACTCTTTGGTACTAATATACTGTAAGTGTAGAGTAGTTTAAATTTAGCAATCTACAAACAAGTAAGTGAAACAATGATTTACTGTCTCAGAAGCATTACAGTCAACTACCCATCACATTCATGGTTTGTATACATAAAAACTAGCGGATACTGATGGAATAAGATTGATGCCCTTATAACGTTAGACATTTAGTGAAGATGCAAGTGATTAGAAATAAACATTTTCCAGGGTCATTCCTTTTGTAGTAAACAATAAGTCCGCAACACAAGAACCAGGGTCCTGTAAAAAAATATAAAAACTAACCCGAAGGTTAGCAAACATCACTAGATTTCCGCAAGGTCATCCAAACTGATTGGTGCGAGAAGACTCATTCTAGGTGGCTCTAACTACAGAAAAAACGAAAGCAACTTAGACGTAGGTCGACCAAGAGTCTTCACAATGATCGGGAGCAGTGGTCGGTGGCAAAGACGAGAGGGATGGAAAGGCATCAGGGTCGGGTAAAAGCTGGTAAATATTTAGGCTTAGCAAGGATACCGGCAAAAAGAAACCATCACCGAAAAGGACGGGACTCCAATAAGTTCCCACGACAGGCGGCTAGAACGCTGGGCAAAAACTTGGAAGCATACTTCAACTGGTCCATAGCAAAGATATAGTTGTCTAACATCCAGCCTGAACCTGAATAATACATAGATGTCCGTCCTCCAACTCTTCTTGAGGTTGAGAAGGCTGTATCGAAACTGAAACGATGGAAAGCGGTAGGTGCTGACAGTTTGCCACCCGGAGTTACTGGAGATGGAGGTAGGACATTGCTAACTAAAGTGATGGAGGCATTCTTGAGTGTATGAGAATCAAAGGCGGTCCCATCTGACTGGTCTACTTCACTGACCATCCAGCCAATAAGGGAGAAGTCTTTCTATGACAGCTGTAGAACCAGTTTGGCTAATATTGTGCCGAGGACCCTAGGATGCAAAATTATCTGACGCCTAACTGCAGCTCGAACCTCGCCTGGTTAACTAGTTCATTAGTTACTAGCCGGTCCTAAGCCCCCGTAAAGAGGGAAGGTTGGGCATAGGGCTAGCAACCCTACCCCGTAAAATAAATCTAACCGCTAAACAAACTTCAAAGCACAAACGAAATATAAAAATAATAACAGAATTATTCCCCGCTGGAATCGGAGAGGCGAAATGACGCCAGTTGGTGAAAGCCTTCGGGAAGCCAATTGGCCGATGTGTCTTCTCTCTCTCGATGAAAGCGAAAGTAAACGTGGGGACATGGAATGTCCGCACGATGTTTAAAACCAGCAAGGCAGCCCAGATTGCAAAGGAGATGAGAAGGTATCACACTGAAGTGCCTGCAATTTGTGAAAGCAGATGGAATGGGAGTGGACTCACCAAACTGTCAACTGTAGAATCAATAATCTACTCCGATATTGTCACCCAGACGCCAACCACGAGCACACTGAGGGGGTGGCTATCATGATGTCCCCAACAGCATCGAAGGCTCTCGTGCAGTGGGAACCAATCTCCTCCAGGATCATGACAGCAAGATTCAACTCAAAAGGAAGGAAGGTCGCAATCATACAATGCTATGCACCTACAAATAATGCAGAGCAAGAGAGAAAGGAGGAATTCTACAGACAACTTCAATCAACACTGGACAAGACGTCAGTTGGCGATATCAAAATTCTAACGGGTGACATGAATGCCAAACTGGGAGGGGACAACACAGGAAGAGAACTAACCATGGGTCGAGAAGCACTCGGTGAAATGAACGAGAATGGAGAATTGTTTGCAGAATTCTGCGCATTCAACGATTTGGTGATTACAGTGAGGCAGTGTGTTCAAGCACAAAGATATCCACAAAGCGACATGGATTTTACCAGATAGACACACCAAAAATCAAATCGACTTTATCTCAATCTCAAGAAAATGGAGACGCAGTCTACTTAACACAAGGTCAAGAAGAGGAGCAGATGTAGGTTCAGACCACTATCTAGTGCAAGCAACCTTCCAAATCAAGTTGAAAGCCTTCAAGGAAGCTGGTGACAGACCTCAACTCAAGTACAACACTCGGAAACTGAAGGATGAAACTACAAATGAAATCTTTACGGCAGCCAGCCATCAAGACAAAATGGAAAATATCGAGGAACATCCCTGAAGAAACCTGTGTGGAAGAACACTGGAAGTCCTTGAGAGAGATGTGGAAAGAAACATGCACAACAGTATTAGGAAGGAAGAAGAAAGAAGACAAGGAATGGATCTCGACGGATACCTGGAAGCTGATAGAGCAGGGAGAGGAGGATGGTGAAGCAGAAGATAAACCAGTGCAAGGATGCTCAACGACAAGAGAAACTGAGTACAATGTATAAAACACTGGAAAAAAAAGTGAAGAAGAGTGCACGCAAAGACAAAAGACACTTCTACGAAACACTGGCAAGTGAAGCAGAACAGGCTGCAGGTAAGAGAGACCTGACGACATTGTATCAAATAACCAGGTTGCTATCTGGGAAGAGATCAATGCAGACGAAGCCAATAAGAGATGATGACGGAAATTTAATTATCAAAGAAGAGAAACAAAGGAAACAATGGGCCGACCACTTCAAGAAGCTCTTGTATCGACCACCACCACCACCTGCACTTCGTCCAGAAATACCACCTGCAGCAGCTGAACTACAAGTGAACATAAATCCTCTAACAACAATGGTAGTCCTGAAAGCCATAAAGCTACTGAAATGCGGGAAAGCAGCAGGACCAGGTGGGATCCCGCCAGAAGCACTGAGAACAGACGCAGAGACAACAGCAGACATGCTCACACTACACCACTATTGCAAAAGGTGTGGAAGGAAGAGAAGGTACCTGGCCATTGATTGGAAGAAGGGTTACCTTGTCAAACTGCCGAAGAAAGGAGACCTCAGTGTTTGCAAGAACTGGCGCGGAATCAAGCTCCTGTCCACCCCAAGTAAAATATTAAGCCGCATCATCCTGGAGAGGCTTAAGGATGCACTGGATTCAAAACTACGACCGAAACAGGCTGACTGGATTCAGGAAGTACAAATCATATGCGGACCAAATTGCAACGCTTCACTACGCATCATCATAGAATAGAGCATGGAATGGCAATCAGCTCTCTACCTCAACTTTATCGACTTTGAGAAGGCCTTTGACAGCGTCGACCGAGAAGTAATTTGGAAACTGCTTCAATACTACGGAGTACCGCAAACCTTTATCCGCCTCATTCAACAACTATATGAAGATGCCACATACCAGCCAAGTAATTCACAAAGGGAAGCTCAGTGATGCTTTTGAAGTCAAGACAGGAGTGAAACAAGGTTGCCTACTATCCCCCATGATATTCCTGATTGTGGTGGACTGGATCATGCAGCAAACAGTGGGGAGCGAGGGGAGGGGGATAAGCTGGACTGCTGAAAAGAACCTAGAAGACTTGGATTTCGCCAATGATGACTTGTGCCTGATGTCACATAAACTTGAAGATCTGCAGGCAAAAACTAACAAGTTGACAGAAGAGGCAGCGAAGACGGGACTTCAGGTGAATATAGAGAAGACAAAGGTGAAGATACCCAACCAACAACAACAACAAGCTCCGATCTCCATCAACTGGAGAAACTTAAAGGAAGTAACCTCCTTCACCTATCTAGGAAGCACTGTTTCAACTACAGGTGGCACAGACCAGGATGTCAAAGTCAGAATAGGAAAAGCAAAACAGGTGTTCATTAGCCTGAAACTAGCGTGGAGATCTTCTGCACTCAGCATGTGGAACAAGATCCGGATTCTCAACACCAATGTCAAGTCAGTGCTTCTGTATGGTTGAGAGACTTGGCGCGTCACGAAAGGCATTTCCAATAAACTACAGACATTCATCAACAACTGCTACGCTGGCTCGCTACTGAAGATCAGATGGATTGCCAGAAAGAATAAGCAACAAGGAGCTCTGGGAACGAACCAACCAAGAACCTATCAGTCAACAAATATGCAGGAGGAAGTGGAGATGGATTGGCCATGCACTGAGAAGGCCGACTGAGGACATCACGCGTCAGGCCCTCGAGTGGGATCCCCATGGGAAGCGACGAGTTGGACGTCCGAGGGTGACATGGAGGAGGTCGTGCGAGGAGGAAACGAGAGCTTCTGGGCTGTCGTGGAACCAGGTTCAAAAGATCTCAGAGAACAGAGGTCACTGGAGACGTGCTAGTGAAGCCCTATGTTCCACTAGGAACCCAAGGGACTAATAATAATAATAATAATAATAATAATAATAATAATAATAATAATAATAATAACAATAATAACTGCAGCTCGAGAACACCAAACTCAAGAAAATCAGGCAGGTTTAAAAACTGCACAAAAGTGCGTCGACCAGATTTTTACCCTTTCACTAGTTCTAGGTATTTTCAATTTCCCACAGATCCTCGAACACAGGGATTTTTACCACATAGACAAGTTGATTAATGGCGTTGTGAACCTAAGCCGTCATCTGAGGTAGTTTGGATATATGTTGCGCATGCCAGCCAACCATATACCTCAATGTGCTAGGAGAAGCTGGATTAGGTTGGAAGAGGGTTCAGAACGGCCAGACTTAGACCTGGTACTAGTCAACAAAGTCTTTGATTGTTGGTCTGAGTCGTGTAGGGAGATGTAGACTAGCTGGTTGGGTCGATGAGACGAAAAGAAATCAGTGGTTGAGAGCTCTTCGCGACATAGCTGTAAATCGTTCACAGTGGCGGAGATGTGTTCACTCTTTGATATCTTCTAAAGCTTGAATATTTGCACTAACTTCGATCTTCAAATTGCTTATTCTCCTACACAACTTTGTCTACTCTGATATCAGGTTTTTTCTAACAGTCTATTCTTTGTATACTACTGCGAAGCGTGGGATCTTGGGCCGACGCACCTGTGTGCGAGGTCCCATACTTAATTTGTTTTTCTATCTGTCTGCCTGTCAAACATTGTATGAAATGACAAGCATTTACAAACCTTTTCACTTCTTTGCATTAGAATTATTATTGTAACTGTCCAATGCTAGGATTGATTTATGTACCGGAAATATTGAAGACGCGGTTTTGATTGAGTAGATGATACTTGATGAGATTGGAATCACTGATTACACTTTACTTCCGGGTGATAATCAAAAAAGATTGACTAGCAAGATGGTCGATGACTTAATAATGTGTACTTTATGAAGTAAGGTTATTACTTATGTACCAAAAAGTCACCTAAAATAACTTCATTAAATATGATGTATCTAATAAAAGCTCCTCAATCGAATTTAAAACAAACGCTGTGGAGTTTTAAGTCATCGGCTTAGGTGTTCGAAATTCATGGGTGTGGATCTCCCTGCATCTACGTCAGCCATTGGAAACCCATTAGTATCATACATGTTCACACATTAGATGTAGCTAACAGCTTAGTACGTTCACTTACAGTGCTAAAGACTTGAACCTAATGAAATGGTGTAGAGGCACTACGAAATTATAGAAGAACAAATGTGACGTGATCTACGTTAATCATTTCTTCTAAAAATTCGAGGCTCTTGTGTAAAGCCCAAACTTTAATATACAGCTAAATTATTCGCTTTTTACCGTTTGGAAATATTATGCCAGTAATTAGGCCGAAATTTTGGAACGCGCTCGGAATATTTCATGGTAAAAAAAATCACAGTAAGAACAAGTACGAGTGAAAAAAAGCAAGTCCATGTTATTATATATTCAGAGAAATATGCATGCAGTACATAGTAAGAAAGGTAGCTATCTCACAAACCAGAGAGCAGTACTTACCCCATTTATACCAGAAAACTGTTGACCGATATGCGGTACCAAAGCTATAATCAACGACCATCGTAAGTAAGGAATACGAAGTAAGTCACAGATATTTGATTTGTGTGTAGGTGAGCATTCAATTTCTCTTTTTAATATCTCCAACTCAGCTTGTACATCACAGTTATGGCCTCTTAAAGAAATAAGTGCTAGACGAATAAAATAAAGATGGGGTGATTTAACTAGAATATTACCATTTTCTGATCTTCGACGATCCCCTTTAACAATATACAGATAGGTAGGACTTTCAGGACAAGTGAATAAGAATGCAACATGTATAACACTGGAAACAGTACATAAACCTTTGAAAATATGAACTGTTTCACTAGCATACCGAGTAGATAAGGCCATAATTCGGAGGTTCCCATAATTTCGGGTAGACCAAGCACTTGTGACAGCAAAATGGCACAAACAATTACAAACTGGTTGAATGTGCCTGCAGCTCCACGAAGTGTAACTGGAGCTATTTCCGATAGGTACATCGGTCCAACAACTGTGTGAGCACCTTTTTTCAAAAATATACAGTGTAAAAGAAATGAAAAAGATTACCACACGCGATTCCAATTATGAATCTACCAACGATGATCATTTCAAAGGAATTGGTCAATTTTGAAAACAACATCAGAAGTGATCCAATAATTGTAGGAATAGACAGTAGAAATAATGACTTTTTCCTATAGTATTAACAATGAACTAAGTGAAAGAGAGAGCTTACCGACCAAGCTTATTAGCTAGAATACCACCAACGAAACCACCGAAAAATCCTCCAACAAGGAATGAAGTAACACAAATTGACCAAATCAAATCAATACAATGCTTATCACAACTCTTTATTCTAGCAACAAAAGTAGAATTTATAAAGAGTTTTATCAACTGAAATACAATATCCCGTTTGTATTATAAGTAACTTACTTCAGCAGGTGCATTAATAACTCCTGTTTGATATCCAAAAGGGAATGAACTTCCTAGCGTTATCACACAATATGGTAAGAAAGTTTTAAACCGGTCCATTGGATGCTATTCCAAACTATTCAAATAGTATGCTGTTGTAAAATAATCCAAAAGCTGTAGTGAGTACTATCAGGTTACTGTGAATAAATTGAGAATGTAAAAACAGTTAAATTATTTTAGTACACCAAACAGTACGTATAAACGAATGTAATATGTATTGACTGATCACTGCAGAGTAACCAGTTTCATGTTGTCTAGTCCTGAGTGCTGACCGAATTCTATTAGTCATTTTGCAATGTGGCCACCATCGCGGTGCACTTTGATGGATACAATTTACACATTTTTCCTAATGTTGGAATGCCAGGGAATATATTTTCCTGGTGACTAGATCAGGATAATCTGCTGTGATTTACTGTGTATATAAGTAACTGACAGTAATTGATATTTAACAACACAAAGCTATATCGTGGAGTTTTTAAAAGCGTAGAACAGACTCCTATTTGTTCACTGTAGTTCCTAGAAAGTACTGAAAGGAGTTGTAAATTAGTTTATTTCTTATAACGATAACGTTCAAACCTATTCACCTAGAGCTGGCGATGTTAACATTTTTGACGTTCATTTGCAGTGGAATTCAGAAAGCGCTTCCCGTCTCACTTGAGACTTGTTCGTTGGTTGTGCTCTCATTCAGTGCTTGTGGACACTAGCAATGCGTCTCGAACCTATAACCGGTTAGTTCAGACGCTGAAGAGCGATCCATAAGGCTAGCGAGTCATAATAACCACCGTTTGAGCAACAAGCATAGTTTGTGATTCAGATATTGTAAACTTGTTATCCACTCACTCAGCTGATTTGATCAATACACTAAGTCTGACAGCTTCCACATACATGGACTGACTAGTATTGCAAGGCCTTGTGTACAACGAATGCAGGTTAAAGACAACGAAACTGAAGCAATATTATTCAATTAGGTCACTAAATGTCAGATACAGCCGTGCACTGGAACTAACACACTGGATTAAACGGTTCTAAATCAATCACTACCTTGAAAATATAGTAAATCTACATATTCGGCGTATTACATTAGCATTGATAGTTTAAGCATAATAAAAAGCAGTGGGTTAACTGATTGGTGTGGAGACAGACACAACAGAAGACATGTCTCACAAATCCTCAAGTAACTGTGATCACCAGAGAAATTTGTGGCACTGATCAAAGTTTGTATGACAAAACAAACAGAAGAATGAACATAAAAACTTGCGCTAAAGTGATCTAGTTCAGGCTGCCACACTTTGCAGCAGCGCACAAAGAGGAAATGTATGGACAACACGATACTTTGATAAAGATGGCTGGATGAGGAGAGGTAATAAATAAGTAGCTCCTTCGGCTAGGATTTCGAAAAAGCCTTTCTGTTTAACTCAGCCTACTACTTATAATATGCATATATCATCATTGTAAAGTTTAAGCCTTATCATTGTTCGGCTGAAGTAAATAAAATTTCAATCCCATCGTCTTCTTCCGGTGTCAGCTGAACATTGAGTTAAGAAGTCATTGTACCACTATTAGTCGCATCTTCTCGGAGCCTTGTATAGTTATCTATAGTGTGGGTCCTGATACCTACTCACTTGTGCATTGAAACGACCTAAAACAACAGCAACAACCACATTTGAACGTTTGGTTTTTAGTCAGAGGCTAGACAGTTTTCGGTAGAACTAACCCTCTACTTCATCCAAACTGCAGTCAGTGGGTGTGTATGCAGAGATAGCAAAGAGAAAACAGTGAGTTTCATTACTCTCTCTGGTCCTTACTATGCCGTTTACTCGGATAGTGCGGAGATGACTACCAACTCCCGACCGATAGCTGCTACCTTGAAGTGGCAGTTGGGCTTGTATATCACGAAGACCCAACGAACTATGTTAGTGGAAAGGTCTGTTAGATAGCAGCTATTCAAAAAAAGTTACCCTTACCCTTAACATGTTCTTAAACAAAGAAATGATGCATTGCGGTGGCATAGATCAGTAATCAGCGGTGATCCAAAACGACAGAACCCATGTCCAACTATATCTTTCATACTACAGACTAATTGTCATAGCATCAAAAAGGACGTACATGACCGACCTCAAGCAGATGTTCTTTGAGCTCTGCGGTCACGTACTAACCCCTTCTTATTAGGTGCTTTAAGTAGACCTAGCTTTTCACAGTGTGAGCAACCGGGAAGTGTCAACTCCTCTTACAACCCTGTCAGCGCTCAAGTTTCCTCAGACTACTATCCACCTCCTTCATCCTTACCATCTAATTTCCTTTCGCTCCTCTCAGCTAACAATGCTACATTATCTTAATTTTTCTGACAGCTCTGCAGCTTTCGATAATCGCGCTCCACGCTCCAAATTAAACATCGGAGCCTTCGATGTTCACATACCCGTCAAATTATCCAAAAAACTTCATTGGCCAAAACTCTAGCAGCTCAGGCCATGGATATGTACTGCGTTTGTGAGACACACATAAAGAATCCAAGCGCGGTTTCACTTGACCTCACCCGGTCTATATGGTTTCTGGAAGTTCGACGACTAGTTCGTTCTGTCTTGCAGATGTACGTATATCATTGGGTCACATGGCAGCATACTCGGCTGGATCCCAGCTCACATTCATCTGCGCACTGTCCGAGTGAACGATATAGTAAGGACCAGAAAGAATAGTGAAACTCACTGTTTTCTCTTTGCTATCTGTGCTTCCGCACCCACTGACTGCAGTTTGGATGAAGTGAAGGACGAGTTCTACCGTAAACTGTCTAGCCTCCTCTCGAAAGCCAAACGTTCGGACGTGGTGGTTGTTGCAGGTGATATCAACGCACAGGTGGGTAGACTGAGTGAGGCAGAAACGCAATTAGGTGGCACTTTCGGAATCCCGGCTGAACGTACAGATAACGGTGATCGCCTACTACAACTATACTCAAGTGTGTATTTAGGGAGAAGAGAGATAAGAATGAATCTAAACATGACACCAAATCTTATCCTAATGAAACCTGGCGTGATTTTTAGTCTCCTGAAGAAACAGCGGTGAAACATTTGGTAGCCTACATTTAAAGGTTAGGAAATGCCAGTGGATTGCTGCAATTGCATGCGAAGTTATTGATGCTAGAAGACTCATTCCAGCCACTTCTAACCATAATAAAGGGCTAAAGCAGCTGAGACATAATTTGATTAAGGCTTTGCACTATTTACAAGCAGTAGTGGGTGGCAAGAATTGAAGGGGTTAGAGGTGTCAACGTTAGGGAATACTTTGCAATCGTTTACACTCATTGGGAATACTGTCAAGAAGAAGACTATGGCTAATGAGACCATTGTCAAAATGGATGGGTCCCTGATAACTTTTCGAGACGGACAGAAAATCACTGGGTGAAATATAATTCCATATTAGATTCGTTTATTTGCTTTATAACACACAGTGATCTAGTATTATTATCAAGTAAATAATACTATATCACTGTGTGCTATAAATCAGACAAACAAATCTAATATGGAATTAAATTCTACCACAGTGCACAAGTTTTATATCTATATTAATTGGGTAGGATAATTTGAAGAGCATTCCAACTGACCTACACGCACGCTTCAGTCTGACAGCATCTAGTTCAAACCTGAATGTTTAGTAGATTTAATTTAAAATAATGCCAAGTTAATGTTTTAGGCTGTGATACACACTTATCGTATGAATGCTTACGACACTACCTGGCCTTGTCCAGGTCAAAGAAGGTTAAGCGGGATTCGAATCCGAAACATATTGCTTGAAAGCCTTTTAACGCCAGTGAGCCATACCTCTGTATAGGTTGTAGATATCGATCTTTTAACGCTCGCCAAAGCTCAAAAGGCTGTCTCACACCTAAACGATACAAAGCAGAAATACCTAAGGATTTGTTCTTGGATGGTTTTAAAGATAATGGTAGAAAATTACTCAGTAGGGTAACGGAGTTACTAGGCAGTGTATGAGAGTCAGAAGAAGTATTGACTAACTAGTCTAGTTCACTAATCATTACGGTTAATAAGAATAGAGAAAAGTCTTCTTGTGATAACCATAAGGGGATCACTTTGACCAAAGCCATGTCCCTCAGAAACACTTCACACCAGCACATCAAGCACCAAAATGAAAGATAATGAAATAAAGAAAGCAACCAAAACTGGTAAAAAGTTGTGATAACATGAAAAGACCACTGAATTTAGTATGACGTTGAAGACTGTGTTGATATATCTTCGTCATACAGACAGATCCTAAGCCATCTCACGCTGACACATTGCCTGTGCTACGAAGCCAACGGTGATCGAATCCAGAAGCTTTCTCATGTCCTGTACCTTTAATGGCCATGTTTCACAACCGCATGGTTGAACAAGGAGAACTGCAGAGCAGCACATGACCCTTAATCAATAGTCATATCAGGATGGTGCTATAGATAGCCCAAGTAGCCATGAATGACACCTAAAGGCATTCCTTTAAAATAAGAGTTTAAAACAAATAAATAAATTGATCTAGACAAGCCCAATAAATAGAAGACATTACTGGAAGTTTGCGTTCATTCACTTACTATTTGAAGGCTTTGGATGGTCAGCAATGTTATATACAGACGGTGGTAGTATTAGGATAGTTTGATAAGTCCGAAATCAAGAGAAATCGTGACGCAATCGGTAATCTTGTACACATTCATGCAGTGGACAATGAACCATATCGGTTGTCTGAGGGCTGATGGTATTACCTAAGTGTCCCAGCCTCTGTAGGTGGGGATGGGTACGAACCTGTGAATCATTGACCAAAAATCGAGTGCATAGACCTCAGCTTCAATTTGATAATTCCTTGAGTGAGTTATCACTCGTAACTTCCTAGTTAACTTATCCTCTAAAAACAATTTAGGGTAGGTGGGCAAACAGAAGCGTAGACGCTTCCTGTTTGCTGATCATAATCACTATGACATTTGGGATACAAAGGCTTTTACGTTGAGAAAATAGAGAAAAAATGTTATATTTAATTTGCTAGAATACGCTAAACATGACTCTAGAAGTTAAGGAATTGAACTGATCTCCCATGCCACCGAAAAATCAAGGAAAGTTTTAGATGACCTGATAACTTGCACTAGACAATTTCACACGGCTGTTTATTAAATTATTAAGCCATTCATCCAGAATTTTAAATTCCCAAAGGTGGTGGTCAGTAAATTCCACGTTCAATGTCAAGCCACTTCCCAACGACCAGAGTTCAAGTTGCTGCAAGTCATTTCGTAGTGCTGTGCAGTTGGCTTCTTCGTTTACTACCCTCCAAATTTTAATGTCATCAGCGAGAAGGAGGATGGATGAGGATATTTTGTGTGGCATATCATGGACAAACAGGAGGAACAGAAATGGTCTTAGGATTGCTCCTTGGGATACTCCTGACATCGATGATCTCCACTCCGACCGTATTCTGTTTACCTTGGTGCAGAATTGCCTACCTTCTAGGTACTCCTTGAACCAAGGGAGTAGGGGTTCACTTATACTGGCTGACATGATCTTGTGAAGCCGGACTGTGGGTGGGACACGGTCAAATGCTTTGGCTAGGTCGAGGAAAATAACATGTACCGGCTTTCTGTTGTCCCAGCTGAGTGTCCAGTCGTCCCAGGCGGTTAGCGAATTGGTGACGCATGAGCGACCACTCCGAAATCTATGCTGAGCAGTATGGACGGTGTTTTTTCTGTTGAGGAATTCCCAGATCGTGTCAGCTACCAGGCTTTCTAACACTTTCGACAATATAGGGGGTAGAGCAATTGGCCTCTAGCTGCCAAGGCTTTTTCTGTCTCTTCCTTTGAAGATGGGTGACAAGATGGCGCACTTTGCATGACTCTATTGAGTGCTTGAAGAGGTTGCAGATTGGTTTTGCAAGCACCTCAGCGCAGTTTTTTAGGATTACCGGTTTTAAGTTATCGCAGCCAGGGGACTTGCCTGGACGTAGCCTAGATAGTCCCTCCGACACCTTTTCCTCTGTGATTTAGATGTGTCAGAGGTATTCGTTATTTATGGTCTGGTCAATGTCGCGACGAGTTAGTGTAGACTTGGTGTCAGTAGCAAGTTGAGATTGAAAGTGTGGCGGTTGGACAGTTGTCACATCGCACGGTCTACCATGGACGTACTCAGGGAGTCACCAACCTCACTAGCTCACCCTCACCTCTTTTTTACCTACCACTCACTATCTCTCTCCTTTATATACCCAAATTACCTACTAATTCTCTAGAAAATAGACCTGTGCTATCTACTTTTACCTTCTGGTTGATTCCCATATAGTTTTTTTTGTCATCATTTTACTATTCCTCTTCAGGCACCTATATAGACAGGAGTTACGACAGACCCCTAATCGTCCCAGCAACCCGTAGCTCCCCAATCGCTCTACAAATTGCAATTTACTAACCCACAAAACATTCACCTCACCGAAGCTAAAAGGAAGAAAGTAGAAGAGATCTCCTTGTTCACTATAGAAGCGAACCGAACAACTCAAACCAGGCCGTAAGAACTAGACGTGAGGGATCCAAAGCTATCACTTTTCTACGCTCACACTACCAGTATTGGATATTGGATGAGGTTATCGTCTTTGAGAACGTAGTCAAGGCGTGATGCATTTCCATCAGGTCCCCATCGTATGTTACCACCCACTTCACGTTACAGGCCAGCTGTCTGGATCGCAAACTTCAGTTTCCAACTGAAGTGTATGATGTACCTGACTTCGTTCTCGACGATGATGGATGGAGTGTTTAAGTCTCCAGCAATCATCACGCAGTCGTAATCTGCATATGAAGCAGCCAAGATTGACTGAGTGACCATTTCTGTATGTGTAAAGGAACTAGTGTGGGACCGATGTATGACACCGAACAAGTATTTGATACGATGGAGTGATGTTGCACCATAAAGATTCCGGGAGCTGGATAAAAGCCGGGACGCTGACAACTTGCCTTTAAACGACAGCTTACGTAATACTGCTGCATATACATAAATGTATGTAGCAAAATTATGTACTAATGTTAAGGAAACTTCGATAATTTGTGATACATCAAATCAACAATCCAGTAGAGAATTTTACCCTATCACAATGTCTACGTTTTACTCTCATATAAATGAATAATTCTATAGAGTGATAATTTTTGCCAGAAGACTCTTTGGGATCACATACTGAAAGATAAGTGAATTTTAAAAAAAGAAATGCGTACTACAACGATCAACAGAGGTTAGTGAGCAGCCTTCATTTACCACAAAGTGCAATGAAACCATAAAACCGCGCCGCCCTTGAACAGCAATTAAATGACCTCGGGGTGTACTATAAAGTTGAAGGTGACTGTCCAGTGTCCAATAATTTTTAAAAAATAGTTTAAAGCAGGTGATTTCCTCGAGCTGGGTGTAAGATCTTGCCTAACATTTCCAGGTCTTCGGCGGATTCGGATGCAATCGGTCTGCTCACTTGCCTACTACAGCTCTGATTAGAACGAAGGGCGGTTTTGTGTTGATTGAAACTACATAGTTTGTATGATTTGCCCAAGAACTGTGATGCTGATGGATCCCTTAGGTGTCTTATCACCGGAAAGTTGTTGGCACTGGCTGCAAAAAGAGGATCGAAATGACTTCGAACAAGCCAAAGGTGAGGACGAGAGAAAAAACAAGGTGAAAGGATGCGAAATGGAAATGGAGGAGAAATCTAGGTAGATTCATAGGAGATAAGTGATAAACCCGTAATAAATGGATTGAAGTCATGTAGTCAGAGGGGAAAAAAGGAGCATATACGTTCATAGATCGGATTTTGGGAAAACAAATCGTAGCTCTATTAGTTCGGGGGGTGGCAACTGCAGATGAGACATCTGAAAGGGAAGTGTGAGTTTCAGTCACAAACTCACAGAGAGAAAAAGCGTGGATTTACATGCGTTTTTTGCCCTTTGATGAGCGATTCCCGTTGGTTTACCAGGAAGTCTGCGGCATTGGCTTTTCAGTGGGATTCCTTTTTTCGGGTGACTTGGTTTACTCAGTATTGTTGTGAGGTCTCCACATAGCCTATGGTAGACAAGAGAGTAAAGCGGTAGGTCTTCCAACCCATCATCGAAGGGTTTTTCCCCATTACCGTAACGCCCCTTGTTGATTGCCCTTGGACCTCCTGCATGAGGTTCACATCTGTCTTCAGGTATGCTGGTGGAATGAAGTTGTGGACTTCTAACTTCGGTCATATCTAGGTCTTGCATAGCTTCAGGTGTTGATTAGTGGGGGCACCAGGCTGTCTGCGCATGAAGTACAGTTCTGCCTAGGGTTACTCAGAAAACTGATACTCTCTGTTGGATGGCGGCATTCTCACTTATGGGGTCTAAGGTTTTGGTAGTCCATAGTCCAAACAAGCTTCATCCAACCGGATTTTTCATAACGTAAGCCTCCTCGCTGTAGATTTTCCCTCCGGTATGAATCGGCATGGGTTTATGAGGGTTACCTAAGGCTACCGGAGATGGTCCATCTGGAGCGACCTCCCGCCCCCTCTTACTTTGATTTTGCATCGACTCCTAAGGACCACATACGTGGCATGATCCGACCCCTTTTTGGAGATCCTCCAGTCATGCTGTGCTTTCCTCTCTGATTTCGGGTCGCGTACTACGCCTCGTTTTGGCCATGAGGTTTGCATCCCTGGTATTGTTGTGTCTACTTTTGCGCTCTCAGAGCTAGCCCTCTTATGATATACCTCACTAGGTCCCAGTGTTGATCGATCGACGAGATACTTCACCGCCGGAGCCATGCTGCTGTCAATATTCATTGGTTCATCACTACGTAGTTGCCCTTGCCGTAGAAAAGCTAAAGGTGAGGTCCCTCCAGTGATAATTATTCACTGAATACCGGATCGAACAACGCCATACTATGATCGCTGCTGCCGGAAGTGGTTTAAGCCTGAACGTGTTCTGCTGGCTGAAGGTTACCAGTAAAAGGGGAGTTCAGTGTGAATGATTTTTCACCCCACCCCCAAAGACTGTTGTCGTCAATATTCTCACACAGCCCAGCCTTTTGATGGTGTTGACTGGATCCCGATCGAGCCTCACGCTTGAAGTTCCCCATCCTGCCTCAGAGTGAAAGTCATGACATTAAAAGCCCCCCCCCACTATGATGAGCCTGCCATATCCAATGGACACCAGTGCGGATGTTACTCAGAGCCGTTTCCGATGCCGTTCCACTTTGCTAGCATAGGCTCTATGGACCCCTCAACCAGGTACTTAGTGATCTAACTTAAACGAGGTATCAGATGGAGTTTGAGGGCCCCGACAGTGGTTCATTCGTCTTCTAGATGGCCGCCCATAAACGTTACCACTCAGCCCTCTTCCTTGTGTTCTCTGTCTCCTAAACTGAAGCATACCGTTTGTACTAGCCTGCATGTCACCAATATCCGGTGACGACTAAGTTTCCGTTGGGATCAGAATCTTCGGACCAAGGTAGCAATGGGCTGTGGTTCCGCAATCCTGCCTCTAGGTTCTCACACACTGCCAAAAGATACTTGGCGGTGCTTCCAACAACGCGGGGTGCCTTATTGTTGGAGGACTGTGAGAGTCCGTGTGCAATGTTGAAAGCCGCTATTAGCCAGCTGGCTCCAGCGCGACCGACCCAGTCATGTATTTTCCCACAGTGGGTCCTGGAAATATTATATAGTCGAGGTCAGTCCAACCATCTTGTCTAATAATAACGATGCTGACTTCAACACTAAGCCGTACTTTCGTTTGTTGTCTTCGTAGTGTTCTTGGCCTGCTATCGCAAAGACGAGCGTTACCGCTGATGTTGTCCTCACAATAATAAAAATATGCCTCGAATGATGAAGCATACGAACACATGTCATTTTTACAGGCAATATCTGAGTGTTATTTTTCTCACTTAAGCCGGGGAAGTTTAGAAAGGATAAATCATTGCGCCATATACAGTCTTCCAGAGTATGCAACTGTTTGGATATTGCGGGTCATAAACATTGGTCGGAAGCCGTTTCAATACACAGAAGCAGTGAAAAATAATACAGGTACGATCGCTCGGTGTGGGCAGTGTTTCGGCCATGGGGAGTCACATAATCAGTAAGGGTGGATTGCAAACCGAATTTTGAGTGTAGATGAGGCTGAAAATATGTGAGTAATCAAAAAATTTGTGCCGTCTACAGATACCGTGGGAAACTAGAATTGAACACTAGGATGGACTGGGGACCGTTATTGTATGGCGTCATGCAGGGTATAGTGATCGTTTCGGACCATGATGTCGTAAGCAGAGTCATTTGAACAAAATAAGCCAAAGATGCAATTCTTTTCGGCCACTGTTGTCATATAAGGGGAGAGAATAATTAGGGTTTCATCGTTAAACCACTCTTTAGGACTTCAGGGTCAGTGCTCCATATGAGGCCACTTTCCGTTAGCTTCGTTTCTAGGTGAGTGGTTGTCAGGGGTCAAAGAACCTGCACAGCTGGACACAAACAGAATTTATTACCACGACTTAATTGCTTACCAGGTTCGCAGTACTTTGGTTAGAGGCTCTTGGAACCCGAATTTAATAGCCATCAACCTGAGCGATTTCATTGTCGCCAGATGTGGGGGACGCGGGAGCCGCCGATATCCCACTTAATCCAATTCTTGTTGACAGCCACCATTACTGTCGGACATCGTGGGTAGATTTCTACACATATGTACCCGCTGTTAGTTATCACACAACGTTGACAGCCATAGTGGTTGGTTTCAACTTGTGGAGAGCTTCCCGAGATACGTTTCTCTCTGGCCACCGCCGGCCTGACCTATCCCTAACTCTGGATGCTCGGTTGATGACCAGTATGTGCGACTGCTGGAGGAATCTCCCAACCTCCTCAGACGAGATCAGGGTCACCCCCACCGATGGGTCTTTCGCTGAGGTGGATAGTAGCTCTTGCAGACCCAGCGTGGCTTTGTGTCTGGGCTACCTAGTCCCTTTTCTCATGGGGGCTGTCATGACACGAGATGCCGGAGCTCAATCTGTTATCACTATCCCTGTTATCGTGTACTGTGGGCAGGTTTTTATGGTAACAGAGGGCCTTCTTTCCCCGTAGCCCATTTTTGTGATGTGTCGGTCACAACAACTTCAGGGTTTGGTTCTGACTCGGTTGACCTTACGGATGTTAGCCATTCAGTCATTTCTGGACGGTTTATGGGTATGACTGTCCGTAAAATGACACTGACGCCACTGGCTTCTGGACTTTCACATGTGTTAGTGGTTTGTGCGGGCAACCACTATGGTGCCCTTTACCTTTTAGGCGAGGCTGTAGAGAGGAGTGGCCTAACACAGGCTCTGTGGGCAGATACGCCAGAACCACGCGCACTTGTGACGTTCCATGAATGCGCATCATTGGTCCGCTACGTCTATATGACACCGACAGTGTACTCACTTGTTACAAACGTTGTACTCAAGAGCCGCATCTATTTTGGCTGCAGTAAGACCACAAATACACCAGTCGTCACCTTGGCCATAGAGTTTATTCAGAGACTTTTTTCTTCCACTGCCGTCTCCATGTGGGAGCTTTCATCGACACATTAGTGCTAAAGATATATGCTAGCAAGACACGCTCTGTACTGAACGAGAGCAGGTGGGTTCTGGGAGCTGTGTGGAACAGGGATTCGACCTTTTCCGGGATCGGTATTCTTGACCATTCTCTTGGAGTCCAGCCGCGATCCTTTGCAGTGGTTTTACACCCATTATCTCCGATCCCAGCTGACACCGAGGAAGAGGAGCTCAACAACTTACGCAAGGCTCGGCTTCTGGTGCTTCTGAGACCAGATTTAGCCAATGCGCTGTCACTACTCATTCCGATAGGTAATTATGGTGACTAAGCAACATGGAAGTGTCGAGGTCAGTCAGCAAGTAGAAAAGCTACGACGGTTAAGGTAAGTTATCAACCTTGCCTCTGATTGTTCAGTCATATTGCTCTTAGAATGCCAAAAGCTTCCCGTCAGCCCAAGATAGGTTACTGGATGAGATAAACGGCTCTGCAGATGCATCAACCTGAGCTTTCGGAGTTGATCAAAACAGCTAGGACTACTTCACAGCTTTCCGTTTGAAGAGTGGTGGTACTGACCAACTGATGATTGTACGTTCCACAGATGATACTTTTGCGAGACTGTCAGTTTCGGAGATAGCGATAATATTTATTCCTGAATATACAGGCACACGCCATTTTTACAGGTATGAATAGGTTTCTATATAGATCACATGTCTTCATGGAAGGTAATCTCAATCCCCACCCACTGTCGCTAGAAGATATAAGTACTGCATGT